GTTTTACCCAATATAGTTCTGCTTTACTTCTATTTTTCTGTCATCGAGTCCTAGAATCATTTGCCCTGGATTTTCTGTTTTCAAAATGACTATTATTACATGCATTAAAATAAGTCAGGGTAAATTTGTCAAACATTTGCTTTGTACTCATAGCTTCTTCCATGGAGTGTGAGAAACAGCATGTCAGACAAATGAGCAATAAATAGACTTCTCTTAACACATAGCTAAATCTGAAGGAGGACAAGCGATAACCCAAGGCACTGTATGATAAAATAAACTAAGATAAACTCATTAAATGATGTAAATACATATTCTTCTGGTGCTATATATAATGTTAAAAATCTTCTCTATAAAAGGTTTTATTAATGTGCACATACATTATTTGTCTTCTTTCAGAAATAAGTGTTTATAGTATAATGAGAATTTGTTTTTGATTCACTAATGTAGTAAGATCCACATTGCAAGTATTAATGCTATCAGAATAAAATGTTCATCAAATAAATGAAGAGAGACTAAAGAGTCTAGATATCTATGACCTGTACCATGCTTCATGTTTTTATCAGACAATACATCCCTAAATATGCTACTCTATTCAATGCCACTTCGGTAGAGTAAGAGTAACCAATCCAGGGGAGAGTAACAAAAAATATGTTCAACAAACCAAAAAAGAGATTTTGGCATTGAGATAAATATAAAACTCACCAGGAGTACTCTATGTTTTCCGTAAATATTATATCCATATATATGCCCTGATTAAGAAAGTTTTGCTTTTTCCCCTTTATTTTCCTTTTTTCTGAAAGTTTTATTATTCTAATATTTATATTCTTATTTTTCTTATTATTCACCTTTCACATTTGGATCTACAATCTGCTTTAAACTGATATTTGTGAATGACGTAGAGCAGGTGCTAAATTGTGGATCACTAAGTATGTGTTAGATAGATGGACAGATAAATGAAGACATCCAACTGACCCTGCAGATTTACTGAAAAGTTTCCCTAATTATCAGCTCTGCCACCTTCTTATGAAGAGGTTTCCTGTATTTGCATAATCTTATCTCTGATTCTCTAGTTGGTTCTACTAGCTATTTATTGCTCCAGAGCAAATATTATTTTCTTAACTGCTGTAGTTTTATCCTAGGCCTTTGCTCCTTATTGGTGCAAATTTTGTAGGTATTCTTCTTCAACAAAATTGCCTTGTAGAGGTTGCAGTGAGCAGAGATCATGCCATTGCATTCCAGTCTGGCTGACAGAGCGAGACTCCATCTGAAAAAAACAAAAACAAAAACCAACCAACCAAACAAACAAAAAATGCCTTGGCCATGCTTGGGCCTTGTTTTCTAATATACATTTTATTGATTTTAAAACTGTCTTTTCAAGCAAATCATTTATACAATCTACTAGGATTTTAACTGAGATAACTTTTAAACTGTGTATCTTTTTATTTTTAAGTAGTCATCTAATTCCTAAATTCAGTATTTTCATCTATTTACTTGTCTCATTGGTTTAATTGCTTTGCAGAAGTTATAATTTTTGTTTAGGTATTCCTGAATATTTTTATTTCTTTTCATATATATTATACATTTAACTAAAATATGTTTCATGAATGTATATACGTATATATATTCTGGTATAAAAAATGCATTTTTATATAGCATTTGTGTTTCTGCTGAGTTGTTGAATGTATGAATTCAATATGTTTCTGTAACTATATGCATATTTCATTTGATTTTCCAGTAAAAATATTATTGACTTTAAATAAAATTATTTATTTATTCTTTTCCAATATTTATCTGTCTACTTGTCTATAAATGCATTATAAATGCATGGTACTGCCTTATTTCATTGTCTAGGTAGTTTAGTACAGTGCTGAAAAAAAATAGTGACAGAAAAACATTTTTTTTTATTATTTCAGAGGAAAAGTTTTAACACGTCACAATTAAATATAATTACTGTCAAGGCTTAAAAGCATTCATTATCAGATTCAGAAAGTTTTCTTTTATCCATTTAAAAAGTTTCTGTTGAAAATGGAAGTTGATTTATAGATGTACTTTATAGGTCTAATGTATTTTTTATTTTTCTTCTTTACATAAAAATTACTAATTAGGAAAACATACAGGCCTACTTCTCTCTTTAGAAAAATATGGAAACTAGCCAAGAGGACTTAAAATTGCTTAAACTTTATTTTATAAATCATGATGTTAATAGTAACTGAAAGAGGAAAAAGAAAGTAGGAAAAAACTAAATAAATTAAAATAAAGATTATTAGGATCCTGTAAAAGTTAAACATTGCTAAGATTCATCTAAATTTGACAGCCAGTATTTCAAGGCATGAGTAAGAATTAAGGAAAAACTACAATCACTGAATATTTGGAAATACTGCTGGGTATTTTTGCCATCTTAATTAGATACATGTATATACATATATACACATATATGTATACCTGTAGATCTATTCATGTATGCCTATATATACATATAAACATCTTCTCACACACAAATATAAGGAGTGAATCACTTGATAGCCATTGACAGTCTTTACTGAAAAGTAAACATTTCTAAAACATTGTTGAATTTTACCAATTCTATAGTTTGCGAGATGATAGATATAATTTGCTTCACTATAGTAACCATGTTACTACCTACATACATAACATGTTGCATACCTTACAAATATACAGTAAAATTTATTTTAATAGAAAAAGTACACTAACAAAACAGGACTAGAGAAAAGAATCTTACTGTCTGACGTATTTCTATAATCCAAGTGTAAGGTCATCTTCTGTGAGTCATTGCATTTTCTGGATTTCTTGGTTCTCATTTGTATAGTACTAGCTTAGGGGCTCTAAAGACTTATATTACTAAAATTTATTTTAGTCAACTCTAAAAATGCTATGATTTTCATTATGGTGTCTGAAGCCAAAGATAGACAATATAGTTCTAGAAACCAGGGATGGGAAACCCTTATGGAAAGAAAGGATAGAGAATTATAATGAGGAAATGTGAGATAAGTAAGTGGATCAGTGCCTAGAAGGGTAGTTAAAAAAACAAATCTTGCTCAACATAGATCAATGAAAGTGTTGGTCCCTATGAACGATTTTGTTGAAATAACTTTTCAAAATTACTCAATACATTTACTTTAAAACATCTGAAACTGGCCAGGTATGGTGGTTCATGCCTGTAATCCCAGCGCTTTGGGAGGCTGAGGTGGGCAGATTGCCTGAGGTCAGGAGTTCCAGACCAGTCTGGCCAACATGATGAAACCCCATCTATAATAAAAATACAAAAAAATTAGCGGGCATGGTGGCATGTGCTGTAATCCCAGCTAATCTGGAGGCCGAGGTGGGTTAGTTGCTTAAACCAGGGAGGTGGAGGTTGCAGTGAGCTGAGATGGTGTCACTGCACTCCAGCCCGGGCAACAGAGCTAGACTCCACCTCAAAATAAATAAATAAATAAATAAATAAATAAATAAATAAATAAATAATGATCTAAAACTAGTAAGTGTCTTACATGTTGAGTAGTTGAAGGAATTAAGTTTTGTAAAAAGGAGGCAAATAATTTTCTTCTCATCCATTTTATTGTTCTTGATTTTGAATCAGATAAAAGTATTACTCACTAAAATTATATGAATAAAAATAAATTCTACTTCAATAAAATATGCTTTATGATATTAAAACAAATGTTTAATACCATTATAAAAATGCTAAGACAAAACAGCAAAGAATACAAACTATTTAGGGCGACAGAAAGAGTTTCATGTTAGTGAAGTATAGAATGGATCCCTATTACTGTGTATCAGTTTATAAACTTGAGCTGTGATGAGAAAATTAATGATGCTAGTTGTAAACAAAACCACAGAAGCTATTTGATTTTGTGTCATTCGTGTTGCCATTCTTGTTGACATAGTACACAGTGTTTCAACCAATACATATTTCCAAGACCCATAACATTCAATTCCATGTTTACAGAAGATACTTTGAAAGCTCAATAGTTTTAAATAAATATTTTAAAAATCTGAGCACTAATTTTAAATGTATAAATAAATATTCCCTATAATTTTATTTCTTGTTGCTGAATTTTAAAGAGAATGCTTATGTAATCCAGATCTGCAAGATTTTACTTTGCTTTGTTTTGTTTTCTCCCATCAAGCTTTATTAAATATAATTGACAAAAAAAATTGTGTGTATTTAGGATGCAAAACATGATGTGGGTTTTTTTTGCCAGTTAAATTTTTTAAAAAATTAATTCATTATACTTTAAGTTCTGGGGTACATGTGCAGAACCTGCAGGTTTGTTACATATGTATACATGTGCTATGGTGATTTGCTGCAGTCATCACCCCATCATCTACATTAGGTATTTCTCCTAATGCTATCATTTCCCAATCTCCCCACCCCCTGTTATCACTCCCGTATCCCTCCATATCCAACAGTCCCCAGTGTGAGAACACATGGGCACAGGGAGGGGAATATTACTTTGCTTTTTAAAAAATTTATCAAAGCAAGTGGGTATATTAGAGAAGAGAATTAAAGAAGCTATATAATTATGCCCATCCTTATCCTCAACTAGATACTCTTTGAAGCTCATTTCAATAATCTTTGTAAATATTTACCAACCTTCTCCAATTTGTTTAAGGTACAGGCTATACTATATATATTCGTGAAAATAATTTCCAAATTCCTTTTAATTCCTCCACTAATAATACACCTTGGAAAAGTTTATCAATTTATAAATTACACATTACAATGAATAGCTACACTTATTATGCCAACAATCTACATGTTAATAATTCCATATTTCATATGGAATTACGAATATTTTCTATTAAAAGTTATATACTTTAGCCCGTAAAAAAAGTATTACTTTTACAATTAAAAACAAAAGGTGAATTGAGCTTTCATTTTAAAACATCATCTTACTTAGTAAAGAAAGACTGCTTCACAGAACTGAATTATTCCTGAACAAGACCACAGTCTTAATTTCCTGTTATGTTCTTTTTAGGTACATTAGTTATGCAGGTGACAGCAAGTGATGCTGATGATTCTTCAAGCGGTAATAATGCTCGCCTCCTCTACAGCTTACTACAAGGCCAGCCATATTTTTCTGTTGAACCAACAACAGGTATTTGTGAAGGAAACAAGCAAATTTAACATGATTCTAAATAAGGCAATTGTCCGCAAAATTAGCTGCTTAGACACATGTTTACAATAGACCTGATAAGTCATAGGTAAAATGATTACAATTCCTAAGCATTTAATTACTTTTAGTCTTTTAGCTGATATTTCTAAGGATAGGAGATTGGATTTTCTATGTCCGTACCACAAATTAATTGTGTAAGGGGTATAAATCATATATAAGGATTCTTTTAAATGAATTAGAAAAAGAGACAAGCAACCCAATTTAAAAATATAGGAAAAAGGCATTTACAAGCAACTGACAAAAAACAATATACAAAAAGCTAGTAAGCATATTAAAAAAGCTCGCCACATTAGTCATCAGGGAATGCATATTAAAACCACAATGAGATACAGCTGCATACCCCTACAGAAAAACTGAGATTAACTCTGAGTAGATGGCTAAGCGTACAAATTGATATGAGACATTCACCTAAAAATAATTCTGCATTTTACATCTTTCTTATTTACATGAATAAAATATTTAATTCTTTTTGTAACGTTGCTTTACAAATTTGTATTAATCAATTGAATACAAAATAAACAGAAAACAGATTTTTTCCTTTTATTTTAAACAATCATATGACCCTAATTTGTTAGACAAATATTAATTGTTGTGTTTAAAACAAAATTATGCCCACCTAATTTTTTTTCCGTTAGGAGTCTCTGCTGATAAAAAGAAAAAAAAGCATATAACTAATGACCCAATAACATAATAAGAACTAAAATTCTATGGTTTTTAACACAAGAAAAATATTATTTCCAGCTTATATTGAAACCTTTAAAGAACTAAAGCATTGTGTTGGCTCTTTAAACATTTCTTATTCATTCATTCAGCAATTACTGAATGTCTCAGCCTTTTTCAATTAAGGTTTCTTGAGAGAATCAGGTTCTAAAAAATATTATTTGAGTGACTATGTTCTTAATTATTTCAGGAATGGCATATGGCCTTTATTCTTCCAGATGCACGATGGATACCTCAAAACATTAGGCTTTAATTCCCTCATACATTCTGGTCTAGAAAAGCTGAATATGTACCAAGTGTTATACAACTTACTAGATTTATAAAGGTACAATGTTGCAAAATTTAAAATAATACGTGATAATAACAAAAACAAAACATAATCATGGACTCTTCTTTTTTGGAACTTACAGATAGATATTAAACATGAATGGTAATGAACACATACATTCTACTGTGGGTAATTATTAAGTAAAACAAAAAGTTTCAGTAGGAGAAAAAAAGTGAGGCTGACTTTATATTGTGTGTTCAGGGCAAAGTACCCTGTAACCAGAATGATTAGCTGAGCCTATAGACAAGGAGGAGAGAGTGGAAGATGATTCCAGGGCATGGGAAGAATTAGGGAAATTCCTGGGGTGGGAAAGAGTTGATTATACTAACTAGGCTCCACTGTTGAGAAACACAGAAGAAAGAAGAAAGGGAGGTGTATAAAGTATAAACACATTCTGAGCCATACCGGACCTTTCTGACCATGCTTTCTTTCCACCCCCAGCTCTTACCCTGCACACTGATTTTTTAAAATATGCTGAGTAGGTTGGCTAAAACTATAACTTGCATTGCTGTAGAAGAGTTGGTATGGACAAGCATGGATAAAATCACTGAAGGAATAAGTTTTGAAGTGCACAAGTTCCAGAAATACCTATCCTTTACATAGTCTAAAGGCTGAGAGGAAAAGGTGAAAGTGAAGCAGGTGCAGTAAATGGGGAAGAAAGACTCCTATTTACCTCTCCCTTGAGTCATTTTCAGGGAGATGCTAGCAGCACTTGCACAACATACTCAATGATTTCCATTGGGATTCAAATAATTGATTGAATTTGTGAAACACTTTAGTTCACAACTAGAATCCCCTCATATTATGGTCTGATTTATCTTTTAAAAATTACATATAACAATTTTTTAAAAATTATGTTACATTAAATTTAATCCAATATATCAAAAATACTACCATTGCAACAAATAGTCAATACAAAACTATGGAGATACTTCACATTTTTTGTTTTCAGTCTTGAAATCAGGCGTGCATTTTATACTCATAATATATGGCTATTTTTTTTCACAAGTTCATTGCAATTTTTATTTTATTTTAGGCTCAAGGAGTACATGTGCAAGTTTGTTGCATGGGTAAATTGTGTGATGCTGAGGTTTGGGGTACTAATGATCCTGTCTAATTTTCAACTCTCTCCCCCCACTTGCCCTCTGTAGTAGTCCTGAGTATCTACTGTTTCCATCTTTATGTCCATGAAATCATATTTTTTAACGAATATTTTGTCCTAGATATATTGAGGTATTGGCAATTATCTATTTTTTGTGTGTGTTCCCCAAATCTTTAGAAATGTTAAGCCCTCTCCTATAAACTCGTCTTAAGATTGTCTTAGGTTCTTTTCAGTGATCGTTAATTAGTTTATACCAAATAATTTTATAGAAGTTAAGCATTTATTGAAATATTTATCATTATTTATCTTGAGTTTGAATATATTACAGTTTTACATGTTTATATATATATATATATATATATATATATATATATATATAAAATAACTGTAGGTCAACAACCAGGTCTTCTTCATATCTCATAATTCTAAGTAGGCTTTAAAGTAATTAGGACACGATATTTATTTCATAAATTTGGTATTGTAATTTACACATTTATCAATAATACACTAACTTCAGAGTTTCAGGGAGAAAGCTAATTGTAGCAAGCTGATATTATGTTAGAGAAGATAGAAGAAAATAAGTTAAAGTAAAAAACAAGACATTCTTCTTTTTTTACCTGTGGATTACCTTAACATGTATTTTATTAAGGCCTACCAGTGTTCTTAGTATTGCGATGGTCACTGTAGACTCTAGGCAGTGTTGATGTTTAATTTATGATTATTATTTTTCTCCAGGACAGTCTCTGGCACATTTTAGTGGTTCAACATACAGCAAAATAATGTATGGTGCAATGGTTAGGAGATTAACAAGAAATTTGTCATGATTAATAATGAAATAATTGGAATTTTATTACATTTTTAAAGGAGTCATAAGAATATCTTCTAAAATGGATAGAGAACTGCAAGATGAGTATTGGGTAATCATTCAAGCCAAGGACATGATTGGTCAGCCAGGAGCACTGTCTGGCACAACGAGTGTATTGATTAAACTTTCAGATGTTAATGACAATAAGCCTATATTTAAAGAAAGTAAGTAAAAATCATTCTAAATCTTCATTACAATATAAATTTGAATGTGTTATATATAAGTGGATCTTAGAGTCTACATTCTAAAAGCACTAGAATTGTGTAAACTAAATTTGTTGATCGTTACAGTATGATTATTTTAATTCATGTTAAAAAGTCAAATACAAATGAAATAAAATGTGTTAGTTTTCCATCGCTGCTGTAATAAATTGCCACAAACTTCATGACTTAAAACAAATACATTATGGGGTCTCATTGGGTTACGATCAAAGGATTCAGGGAGGTGTTTCTTGCTGTAGGCTCTAGGTGAGTATTCATCTCCTAGTTTATTTAAGGGAATTCAGTTTATGTGTTTATATAATTGAGGTTTCTGTTTTCTTGATGACTGTAAGCTGGGAAACATCCTTAATTCCTAAAGTTCTCTTTATGGTTATTTGTGTGTGTGTGTGTGTGTGTGTTTGTTTTTATTTATGGTTCTCGATTTAGCCCACACATCCCAGAAGCAGCTAGAAGTGCCACATACTTTGCAGACTGACAACTCTCTAACATACACATTTGCCTCTTCCACTTTTCAACACTCATGTAATTAGACTGAATCCAGTGGGATAAGCAGAAAAATGTTCCCATGTCAAGGTCAGCTAACTAGCAACCTGAATTCTATCTGTGACCTTAATTCTCTTTTGCCACTTTAGGTAACATATTTATGGGTTCAGCAGAATTTGGACACAGATATCTTTGTGGGGTACTTCTGCAAACTGTAGGTAATCATTTAAAATGACTATCTGTATTTATTTTTACTTTGTAGCCAGAATAGGCCACACCTGCTCTAAAAATTTAAGTAATTACTACAAGCTAAATATAAGCACATGATATACTTCATAAAAAATTTCTTATGGAATTATTGGAGGAATTTCTTTTCTAGGAAATTTATTTTTCAGGGTATTCTGTTTTAGCTACAGAAATACATTTATAAGCACTTCCAGAAAGCATGAGTAATTATCATGCTAGGAATAAAATTTAATTAGCATGGAACAAAGAAAGAAGCCAATAAAAAATTATACTATAGCATGATTTATTAGATATTGACCTGATAGTATCTGTTAACGTGTGTGTGCACACACACAAATGCACACACCTAAATAATACAGACGCTACTCAGTTTAGCCAACTTATGCAAGGTTATCAGATCTTTTGATTTTTCCATAAATATTACAACTCTCATTCTTTTATTTCTGCTCTATCTCACAATTTTAATTTTTGTCATATTAAAAAATTATCATTGTTATATGGGTTGAGAAAACAGTTCCTCTGTGGATGGACTGTAGGCAAAGAGGCCAGAGTTTGTACTTTCATTTCTCTTCATGTAGTAAAATACATGATGTATAGGACTGTGTCCACAACATTAATATGGCCCCTAAAGGCAAGGGGAGAATGTCAAGTTAAATATGAAATACCCAGAACTTTATAAAATAATTGGCATCTAATATCTGAGAAATAGTGGCTGGATTTATTAAAAAATTGTGGTCCAAATTTTGTGCAGATGATGATGAAAGACAAGTAGAAGGCTCTGGAAGGCAGGAAGATTCCCAAAGGAACTTGTTGCAATAAAATATCCTGAAGCTTCTACTATGTTTCTCAGTTTCCCTCTGATTTTTCAAGACGTTAATATTAAAATATTTTGAATAAATCAGAAAATTTTAAATATGTTTAAAAATTATCTTTGTTAACTGAATCTGCGTATGCAATGATGATGTTACTATTAATACTTTCATTCAAATACGACTGTGGGTGGATCTGATGCTGGCCTCCTTACCCTTATACACCCGGTTTTCCCTTGTGGGAATCCCATTACCCTCCTCTCAATTTCAATACTCAATACCTATGCCCTCTGTTATAGGCAACACTCCCTACCCTCCCAATTAAAGGCATCTCTCAAACATCTCTCTCCCTTGTGTTAACAGCGTCCTCTGCTGGTTCGTACCTATCAGCATCCAAACATGTTTATTACTGTTTTTACTCACATCCTAAACAAAACAATACAAAAACACTTTCTTGACTTCACTTCCATGCTCAGCTTAAAGATGGTTTGTATTTTTCCTTTCCCTTTAGAGAAAATTTCTTAAAAATGTTATTAAAACTTACTGTTTTTAATTAACGACCTCAAAATTCTCAAAACTTACTCCATATGAGTTGCATCCACATTACTTGACCAAACTAATCTGATCATTTCTATCAATAACTTAAATGGAAGTAAATGCAATGTCAGTTCTCAGTTCGATGACACTTGATTTCTTGGAAGAATTTGACGTAATCGATCAACCTCTCCTTGAAAACCTTAATATTCCATTCTCATTAGCGTTTTCTTCTACCTTACTAGTCCCTATTTTTTCAGTCCTTGCCTTTTCTTCTTCTCCTCTATATACTTTATATTTTGGAATATTTGTGAGCCAAGGCTTTGATGTTGTCTTTCTTCCTTTCTATAGTCATTCCTTTATGATCTTATCCAGACACATGGCTTTACATACCACCTCTGTGCTGACAACACACAGAGGTTGTTGTCTAAATATATGTTGTCTAAATATATGTCTCCAGACTGAACTTCTCTGGTGAGCTTCACAAGAGTAAATCTGTCTTCTCAGCATCTTCACATTTAAAATCTAACATACATTTAACCGAGCTCCCGATTTCAGCTACCCCCTCCTCTGAACTCCCTCTTCCTGCAGATTTTCCAACCTCAGGTACTCACACATCCAGTTTTCATGTTGTTCAAGCCAAAACCTTGCTTTTTCGATTCAAACAGCACTGTTGTGAAGGATTAATGATCCCACTCAGATTATGGTGGCCATACCAAGCTCACCTATAATTTTCACCCAGCCTGAATTGATAATCTCCACAATCTTGATAGTTCCTGACTTTCAATATTCTGTGAGCAAATGCACATACACACAACACACAGACACACGCCCTCTTCCTTCCTTGCTTAAAGGTTTGAAGCTACTTCTACTTTTCTTTTTCTCAGAGTGAAAATTTAATTCCCTGCAGATGTTGTTGTCTCAGCCTTAGAAAATATCCAAGATATGAACACTTCTCACCAAATCCATCCCTACCACCTTGGCTCACACCACCATCTTATTTTATCTCTATTACTGCAATAGGCTCTCATCTAGGCTCTCTGCTTATGCCATTGCTCTCCTTTAGTTTATTTTCAACACAGCCTTGTAATCTTGTTAAAATGCAAGTTTGACCATATTACTCAGAGAAGTCAGTCCTTAGGTTTAGTATCATCCAAAGAGTCTTAAAGATCTGAGTAGTCTGCCATGGTCCAGCCCTGTCCCATTTCCTCTTGAAACCTTAGTGTTTCTATCTGCCCCTTTGCTTACTAAGAAGTCAACACCAGGCAATTAGCCTCCCCTCTGTTCCCAGAACATTCCAGACCCACTGGCTTTTCCTCTTCTTGAAATGATATTTCCCCAGATATTCATTTCCTTACTTCAATTCTTATCCAAAAGTCACATCTACAGTGAATATTTTACACCATATCATAAATTTTAAATTATTCCACCAGAATACTACCTTCATATACATCAGTGTCTTATTTATTGTGTATTTTATCATCAAAAATATGAGCTGAGGGTAGCAGCTTTTATATGTGTTATCATCTGCTATAACCCCAGCCTCTAGAACAGGGTCTTATAAAAATAGTGTTCAAAAAATAATTTTCGAAAGAATGGAAAATTGTATAGACGAAATATTGACTGAGGAAAATATTTCCATTCCTTTTCATTTTGAAGGACAGTAGTTTAATATAAGCTCAATAACATTTAAGTCTGAACCATCCCCTGTCACATTCATGGCAATGTCATTGTTTTCTCCAGATTAATGATAGTGATTTTTAATTTTTTCAATAACATAAACAATTCTTTTAATTTTTCTACAATGTAAAAAACACTACTAATAGTCAAACTTCTATTTCTGTTCCAAAAAAGCAGTGAAATATTAGCATTGAAAAAGTAACATTTATTCCACTTAAGAAGTAAAGTCTCAACTGAATCTGTGAAGTGACTGCCTCCTCTATGTATCTAAAGGAACCAAGAATCCCTTTAAAGAAGAATTGTATTATATGTGCTTATTTTTTAGAATTTTAAGAAGTTCCATTCTTTAAAATATTATATGTTTGCTGATGCCATTTGACATAAATAATGTCATATATTCACGTGGATGAAAATGCAATTGTAAATAATAATTTAAAAATAGTATAGTTCTTTATCAGTTTTATGCAAGTTACTCCTGAAAAATAAAGAAAAATGCCCAGTAATTTGTGGTTATATTGATGCATTTTAAATACAGCTGCAATTATTTACTCATGACCAAATCAATTAAGTCACCTTTGACTACAAAATGCTTTTTCTACTACATTCATTTACCAGCTCTTTTCAATCTATCTTTCTTTGCATCTCCTCTAATGCTAATATAATGCAGGCTCAAAATCAAACCATCGTTCTTGGAACGAAACTATTTGCATTCAGACTCTCCCACCTTTACTCTGCATGTATATTCATCAGTAACTTCAGGTATCAGGGATGTTAAAGAAAAAAATGCAAATTATTTCTGTCAAATTTAATTTATGATGGTTGAAGGTTACAACAAAAAATAAAACATGAATATTGAGGTGATATGCATGTAAATGGAAATAATATTGGTGACAGGCTTTCCTAAGATATATTTGAGAGATGATGATAGATGATCAAATAGGATATTAGAAAATGTTTATATTTCAAAAAATAGGAGAGATTATTTATGGGAGCAGAGAGTGAGGAAGGAAGGAAGCAAGGAAGGAAGGAAGGAAGGAGGGAAGAATAAAAGAAAGATTAAGAACAAGTAACTGGAAAAGGTAGGTATGGGATTCCTTACAGATCATAAATAAAGAATGCTCTAATTGAAAGTTTCCTATGATAAATATTTATCCAAAATATTTTAAATTTTGTTTTTAAAGGTTTATACCGCCTGAGTGTCTCTGAATCTGCACCTACTGGGACTTCCATAGGAACAATCATGGCATATGATAACGACATAGGAGAGAATGCAGAAATGGAGTACAGCATTGAAGAAGATGATTCACAGACATTTGACATCATTACTAATAATGAAACTCAAGAAGGAATTGTTATATTAAAAAAGGTAGACTTGTTAAAATTATTTGTCTTGCAGAATAGTGTAAAATTAAAACAAGTCATATTTTGTGTAGCTGGTTAGTTTTATCTTATTAAATAATTGAAATGAGATCCTGTAATTTATGCTTTTTGGAGGAAAGGATGTTAGAGATGAGGTAGTTATTACAGGGTTTCTAGAATTACATGCAGGACATTTTTAATTCAAATAAAAGAAACTCTTTGGAAAATATCTTAAATACTTGGAAATTCATTCTCAGTTTCATTAGATGTTTATGCCCTCAAAAGTATAATTGTATTCCTAAATGAAAATAAGTGGCAATACACATACTGATTTGTTATGTCTAATTAACAATTATATCAGAGAGATCCATGTACATAAAAAGTAAAACCTAACTGAAAGTCCCCTGACACTGAATTTAGCAGGTAAAATCTTTTTTCTTTTTTCTATCATACTTGAAGTTCTAGGGTACCTGTGCAGAACGTACAAGTTTGTTACATAGTTATACACATGCCATAGTGGCTTGCTGCATCCATCATCCTGTCATCTACATTAGGTATTTCTCCTAATGCTATTCTTTGCCTAGCCCCCAACTCCCCAACAGGCCCCAGTGTGTGATGTACCACTCCCAGTGTCCATGTGTTCTCATTGTTCAACTCCCACTTATGAGTGAGAAGATGCGGCCTTTCCTTTCCTGTTCTTGTGTTAGTTTGTTGAGAATAACAGTTTCCAGCTTCATTCATGTCCCAGCAAAGGACATTAACTCATCCTTTTTTATGGCTGCATAGTATTCCATTGTGTAGATGTACCACATTTTCTTTATCCAGTATATTATTGATGGGCATTTGGGTTGGTTCCAAGTCTTTGCTACTGTGAATAGTGCCACAATAAACATACATGTGCAGGTGTCTTTATAATAGAATGATTTATAATACTTTGGGTATATACCTAGTAATGGGATTGTTGGGTCAAATGGTATTTCTAGTTCTAGATCCTTGGGAATCACCACACTGTCTTCCACAATGATTGAACTAATTTACACTCCCACCAACAGTGTAAAAGCATTCCTATTTCTCCACGTCCTCTCCAGCATCTGCTGTCTTCAGAATTTTTAATGATCGCTATTCTAACTGGCATGAGATGGTATCTCATTGTGGTTTTGATTTTAATTTCTCTAATGAGCAGTGATGATGAGCTTCTTTTCATATGTTTGTTGACTGTATAAATGTCTCCTTTTTAGAATTGTCTGTTCATATCCTTTGCCCACTTTTTGATGGGGTTGTTTGTTTTTTTTCTTGTAAATTTGTTTAAGTTCTTTGTAGATTCTGGATATTAGCCCTTCCTTTTTTCTAAGTAATACCTTGGATTACTAACGCCATTTCTTCTGCATACACTGTATTTCTTCGCAGACAGTGGATTTTGAGCACCAGAACCACTATGGTATTAGAGCAAAAGTTAAAAACCATCATGTTGATGAGCAGCTCATGGAATACCACACTGAAGCTTCCACCACTTTTATTAGGATCCAGGTGGAAGATGTTGATGAGCCTCCCCTTTTCCACCTTCCATATTATATATTTGAAGTTCTTGAAGAAAACCCACATGGATTATTTGTAGGCATGGTGTCTGCCACAGACCCAGATAATAGGAAATCTCCTATCAGGTATGTCTGTAACGTCACTTTTGCATTAACAAATAAGTAAACATTAATTAGATTAAAAATAAAATTGCATGTAAATTTAAACAAAGTTATATCTGTATCTATATTTCTGTACATCATAATTAATTTGTAACAATTTAAAATTAAAATAGGGAATGTCAATGTTGGTTAAGATGCAGTAAAATTGGTGATTTCAAACGTGCAAGAAAGAGGCAATTACCAATTAAAATTCAGTACCATGTATTGCACTGAAAAGAGGAAAGGAGGTAAGAGAAAAAGAATTGTTTTTTAAATCACCAATCAGAGCTGAAACACAACTGATCAAAATGTGGCTTATTTAAATACTATTTTCTTGAAATGATATTGGTGGGCACATATTTATGTTATGTATATATGTTACAAATATTCTGATAGAGGCATACAGTATTTAATAATCATATTAGGTTAAGTGAGGTATCCATCACCTCTAGAATTTATCTTTTGTATTACAAACAGTTCTACACTTATAGTGATTTTACGATGTAAAAGTAAAATTATTGACTACAGCATCATTTTTGTAAAAAAAAAAAAAAAAAAAAAAAAGAAATGATATTCAAAAATTGAGAAAGCTTTTATAGTCGTCCTTCACAACCTTTCTGCCACCAGGAACCAGTTCGGTGGGAGACAATTTTTTCCACAGTTGGTGAGGTGAAGAGGAATGGTTTAAGAATGAAACGGTTCTGCCTCAGATCATCTGGCATTGGATTCCCATAAGGAGCTCTCAACCTAGATCCTTCACATCCACAGTTCACAACAGGATTCACATTCCTATGAGAATCCAGTTCTGCCGCGGATCTGAGAGGAGGTGGAGCTCAGACAGTAAAGCTGGCTGGCCTGTCCTCATCTCACCCTGTGTGGTCAGGTTGCCAACAGGCCATGGATAGGTAGCAGTTCATGGCTTGGGGGTTGGAGACCTGTTTTACAGGATACCACTTAAAGGAGTTCAAAGGGTTAGAAATCTAATCTTGCATTACAATTAAACAAGTATTTGCCATCTAGTAAAATAGTCTGTTATTTTCAGTTACTATGTTATAATTTTTATTTATTTATTTATTTATTTATTTATTTATTTATTTATTTATTTCTGCTTCATTGTTTGAGGTATAGTCTCCTTGGATATTAAAAAAACAAAACTTGTTACGTAACTTTTTTTTCCAACATCTTTTCTTACTCACCTATTTTCCATAAACCCTCATGTACTAATTATAATGCTGGCTACTGCTTGGCTTTGCGAAGGCCTTGCCATAGCAAATGAAAAATTCGATTTAATTTTTGATACAAAGAAATGTTACCGTTCTTCCATTATATTTCCTGTTTATAAAACGTTGACTTCTGAGATGCATATATAGTTCTTAATTAGTCATAGAGACTTTAGTGATTGCATAAGTGTATCAATTATTTACTTTAAAAATATATCTATATACCTATTAATTGTTCTCAGAACATTAAATAATATGGAATTTTGAAAAATGCTTTGATGATTAAGATGTTCAATATGTTATCATTTATAATAAAGTACTGAACAATATTAATTTTAGGAATGTAAGTAAATAAATTATGGTTTATGATACTTGTGAAGTATAGATAATACCATTGCATACATTTTAAAGCACAGTAATATACAGTGAAGAATTGCATGCTTACTACATGTGAAAATACCACATATATGAAGAAAAATGTAAGGTGCAACCAAATATTAAGAGGTTTCGTGTTTTTTAGTGTAACCATTGATGTCTACTTACTTCAACTTAGAAATATTTTAGTTAATAATTTTCACTTTTATACCGGTAATTATTACTTTTTAAAATAACTTGTATCCATCAAAGGAATACGTTTTAATGATCTGACAGATGTTATTTCATTTAAAAGTGGCTTTTACATAATATTGCTTTTCACACATGCTGTGATCACAAAGGATACAGCCGTTTTGTTGTTGATATTGTTGATGATTTTTCCATATGATATAGTTTAACAAACATTCAAAATTGATCATAAAAACAATATCAGATGCAGACGAAACTATCCACTTCAGCACATTTCTGGAGATTTCTTTTTGGTTTCCTTTATCTCTGTTTTTCTTTGTAAGCAAAAAATCTCCAAAATATTTGAACATAAAATGCAAAATGATTTCAATTTGAGTTTTAATTTGATAATATCTCTTCCTTAATACTCACTGCATGGTAAGAGCTACAAAAACGAAAAGAAATATTAGGACATTGTATTTTAGCCTTAGGGATGTTTCATTGTTTTGGGAGAAACACTAATACATATTAAACACTGTAAATTAATCTCAATTCATTAAACTCATATTAGTTTTTCCTACTGAGTAAGAATCACCTGCTGTTTCTGTAAAGCATGGAAATTCCCAAACTCAGTTTCATCAAATCTTGGATGGGATAAAATAAACTAGTTTAACAAAATATTCTTGCTGTAACTGAAGTCGGAAAAGCTTGAGGCGTAAGATCTACCTTGATATGAATTCTAATAACAAACCATATGTCAATTTTAAAAAAATGGGGCACAGAAATGATGGAATAATGTAATATTTAGAGTGGAAAGTGAGGTGATAGACTGTTTTAAGGAGCCCAGTATGGTAAAAATTAAAGGAGTGCAAAACCAACTGTAATAAAATTACTACCATAAAATAATTAAGACCTTCATAAGAAATTATTCTTAAAATTTCTATTTTATCTCTAAGACTGTGTATTATTTCAGGTATTATCTCAGGGACTAAATGCTTATATTCCTCAAAATTCATATTTGAAATCTAAATGCCAATGAAATGGCATTAGAAGGTGAGCCCCATATTTGATATCCTAAATCCCAATGAAATGGTAGTAGAAGGTGGGTAGAAGAAAGTGGATTCTATAGGAATGAAGTTGTAAGTGTGGAACCCTAATGACTGGGATTAGTACCCTGACACAGGGGAACCCAGATAGCTCTCTCAGCCTCTTTCTCCCTGTGAGGACACAGAAGTCAGCAGTCTGCAACTGAAAGAGGGCCCTTGTCAGAAGCCAATCATGCTGGCATCATAATCTCATGCTTTCAGCCTCCAGAAATGTAACAAATAAATATCAGTTGTTTATAAGCTACCAGCCTATGGTAATTTTTAATAGTATTTTAGGTGACTAAGACAACTGCCTTATTTTTCTGGACTTCAGATATAGGGATTACTCTTTTGCTATCAATGGGTATGATTTACTTTTTGGACATTATTGAAGTTTCCTTTTAAATTAAGCCTAAAGTCAAGTTTTTAAATAATTTGTTAATATGAAAAAGATGGTGTATTCTTTTCCATTAGAAAAAAAAAAGAACAAATAAAACCCAAAGCAAGCAGGAAAAAAAAATAGAAACAAAAACAATTAGATCACAAGCAGTGAAATTGAAAGCAATGGATAAATATAATGAAATCAATAGCAGATTCTTTCAAAATTTTGCTAAAGTCTATTCATCTCTATTGAGAAAGACCAAGGGGCAAACAGAAGGAGAGAGATAAGACAAAAATTACTATTAGCAGAGGTGAAAGAGGGAGGATACATATTGATCCCACAGACACTAAAAATGATTATAGGAACTACTTTGAACAATTCTATGTCTATACATTCAGATGAAGTTCTTGAGAGAATCCACCAAAATTTATATTGAAAGATAAATAACCTTAGCATGCACACACATACATATGTATTTACAAACAACCATATATGTACAACCACATGAATATGTACACAAGCACATGCATACACACAAGCACATATATATCACCAAAAAGTCTGTTGAAAACCTTTACAAAAACAAAGAGCAGTTCCAGTAAAAATTGATGCCACTGATAAACTCTACCATATGTTACAAACAAAACTACAGGTCAATATTCCTCATAAACAAACATGAAAATTCTTTACAAATAATAGCAACTCCAGCTATTTGTGAAAAGGACAGTGTATCCCTATCAGCTGGAGTGTACCCTGGAATGCAAGGATACATCTATTTATTAAAATATTTTCTATAAATGATCATATTGACAGATTTATTTAAAAAGCCATATTATCTTCTCAATGGAAAAAAAATTGACAATATTCAAAATTAATTCATGATAAAAACAATCAGCACAATATGAATAGAAGGGAAGATTCTTAAACAGATACAGAGTATCTGCAAAAGTGCAGCTAATATATACTTAATTATGGAATATTATGTGCATTTTCCCTAAGACTGGAAACAAGGTAGAAATGTATTCTTTCACCAGTCCAAATCTGTAATATTAGAAGTCTGGCCATGCAATAAGCAAGAAAAAGAAATAAAAATATACAAGCTGGAGAGAAATAAGTAGTTTTCTTTATTTGCAGATGACTTGATTATCTACCAAGATAATTCCATGAAATTCACAAAAATGCCCAGTAATAAGTGAGTTTATCAAGGTAGAAAGATACAAGATTATTATAAATTAAACCTAAACTAACCATAACACCCAGCAATCCTACTGCCAAGCATTTACCCAGGAAAGAAGAAAACTTTGTGTTTTGGGTTGAATTGTGTCTCAAAGAGACATGTGGAGTCCTAACATCCGGTACCCCTCCACGTGGCCTTGTTGAGAAGCAGAGTTATTGTGGAGGTAAATAGTTAAGATAGGGTCATACCTGAGCAGGTAGGTCCTTAATCCAAAATGACTGATGTTCTAATAAGAAGGCAGACTCTGAGAGAAGACCACCAGGTGACAACCAAAGCAGAGATCAGAGCGATACATCTCCAAGCAGAGGAATAGAAAGGACTGCCAGAAATCACCAGAAGCTGGAACCAGGAAGGATTCACCCCTACAGATTTCAAGGGAAGGATGGCCTTGTTGACACTTCCATTTTGAGAAATCTAAAAATATTATTTTGTTGTTTTCAGCCACCCAGCTTGTGGCCTTTTGTTGTAGCAGGCATAGAAAACGTATTCACTTACTTTGTCTTGAAAACCTGTACGTAGGCATTTACGGCAGCTTTATACATGATCTCCAAAAATTGGAATTGACTCAAATATCCTTCAGTAGGTGAATGGATTTAAAAAGCTAATAAACAAACAGAAATAAGTAAAGCCTGTGGTGCCTAAACTAAAAAGATATGAAAAAGAAAAGCAGGGTGATAAAATTGTTCTGTGGCATTACGTGATGGTAAACACATGACTATTCAGTGGTCCAAGTTCACAGGATTCTCCATGACATAGAGTAAAATATTAATTACTGTAAACCCTGGAAAATAATTAAACAAAACTTTGGAAATATTTATAAAATGGAAGGCAAACTATTGCAAATGTACTTTGTTATATTACAAACAAATAACATAATCAAAAGGAGAGAAATTAGGAAAATACAACCTAAGTCATTTTGGAAAAGAGTTTTTTAATTCTAAATTTTTCTAGAGACAATAAAATGGCTATTCAGGAGAAATATACTCTACATACTGAATGCATTTTTTACGTGGGTCCTGTTTAGTGATTGCAGTGCTACTCTACATGCATGCTCGGATTGAACACATAAGTATATATACTGTAGGTAATAAGAGTAAAATTCATTATTGTCAAAGGAAATGGTTACAAATAAGAAAATGAGAAAAGTTACATGGAGATGTGGCACTGGATTAAAATCTTATGCTCTAACGCCATCTTAATATATGTATCGCAGAAGGAATGATACAGAAATAAATATAGATGTGTCTGTATGCATGGGCATACATACATATATTTCCTGTTGATGTCTGCTCAAAGGACCTAAAAAACAATGAAACACAAGAAGAAGCAATGGGAACTCTTAACACCTAGATCTTGCTTCCTGATATTATTCTTGAATCAAAAATACTGCAATTCATCTGATAACTGGAATCCAGGGCTGTTGTAAGGAAAACATAAGATTATCCTGGAGTCTCTTGTGGTTCCAGACAGAAAGTATTCAAAAATGAATGGAAGGATGAAGGTGTGTTACAAGGGCCCAAGAAACATACTGGAATTACTCCAAAAGTCCAAAGTCATAGTAAATATGTAATGAACTAATATGTAACAATATTTGGTTTATAGAATGAGTTTGGGGTTTCTTACACATTAGAAAAAAATGTGAGTTAATACTGATATAAATAAATAAGGAATATTTTTTCTTACATAACTATTGTGATTAAGTATAGAAGAAGTAAATGAATAATAAATCATCTTTAGCCACCAAAGCCATAGTTATTGTTAACATTACTACCCCAACTTTAACCTAGAGAAATCGGGCCGTCATTACCTAATCAAGTGCTCAAGATTAATATCACCATTAATGAGGTATGATTAACATCATGAGCCCCTCATATGATAACCTAAGAAAGTATATCACATCTGTGATACTCCTGCCAAAAATATGTAACCTTCATCCAATCATGAGAAAGCATCAGACAAATCCAAATTGAGAGACGTACTATAAAATAATTGACCACTATTCTTCAATAGCATCAAGGTCTTGAGAGACAAGAACATCGAGGAATTGTGTAGGAGACTAAGGACACAGGAAAATGAAAGGCAATATTGGATTGTAGATTGGATTTTAAAAGTAAAGGGATATGAATGAAAAAAACAATAAAATCCAAATATAGCTTGCAGTTTGGTTAATTACATTATAGCAATTAATTTATTAATAAGATTAAGATTTTAAATAAGATTTTAACATTAGGAAAAGCTGAGTGAAGAGCATGTAGAAATTATTTTGCAACATTTATGTAAGTCGCAAATTATTTCAAAATATGTTTTTAATTGGATTAGTGGGAAAATTCCAAATTTTAAATTTCGCTGAAGTGATGATGGTACATATCTAAGTAAGTCAGTGTTTATCTATTTATGAATTTTCTGATGTTTGTCTCCCAAGTTTTAAAAATGGAGTGCAAGGACAAAATATATATGTATTTTACATATATGTAAAATTTAAGTAAAACTTACCTCAAAGTCAAAGAAATTTTGTCCAGTGAAGGTGGAGTAGGGAAAAAATTTACATAATGAGAATTTGTAGTTTTAAAAGGGTTAAGAAATATAATATATATTACATATCACTGCTTATATAGCTTTCTACTCTAGTCACTCTTTCTAGAGAACTACATATATGTTTATTTATGTTTTGATTCATTAATGGGACCTGAACCAATTTATTGTTGTGTTTCTTCTTACTAAATTCTAACAGATGCTTATTAAAGTATTAAAGACTACAACTTCCTATCAAACTTTAAATGGGCTTTATGTACAGTAACATTTTACAGAAATAGGATTAGAGATTTAATTCAAAATAGCAACTGTTAAAACACTGTATAATTTTGCCAACAAGTATATTATGTGTGAAATGCAACCACTGTGGATATTTCGGGAAAATACTTATATTTTAAACGGAGTACAGTTAAAACTGAACTCCTCTAAAGCTTAGTTCTTTGTAATTTCTATTGAATCCTTATCTGAAAACCAAGTTACAAAGTAGTGCATTATTTTTGGAAACTTTTGAATTCAAAATTAAAATATTCTCATCTTTGCCACATCATTATGGTAAACTTCATCTATATCTCATCAAAGTCTTCAGGAATATACATTCAATGAGAAACCATTATTGAACCCTAGTTATTACTCCTCTAATTTTTACTATTAATTATTTCCATGTAGATGAGACATGCAGAGTATTTCAAAGGCTTCTTTCGTTGTGGAGTTGGAGATCATTTTTCAGTACTTTTTTTTTTATGGAGGAACATTGTAACCTGGCTTTCTTACATGCGTAATAAATCTACAAGAACATTAGAACGCCTTTATTTCACTTTTGTTTTATATGTAAATATATATAACAAATATATATTTTTATATGTAAAAATAAAGGTAATATATAATAAATAAATATGATGTGATACATTACATACATATATACATATGTGTATAATATATAATAAAACATATATGTACCATATATTAAATATAAATATATGTATAACATATAATATATAAAAAAACATATATATTATATAGAACATATATAATGTTATAAAATGTAAAATATGTTAGTCTATTATATGGAGTTTACTCTTTATGAAATTGTTTTCTTTAAACCAAAACAGTTGTTATATACCAAGTCAAGTAATTCTAGTAAAATGAACAGATTAGCAAGCAACATCTGTGGTATAGGAAAGAGATCAGTACTAGTCTAGGCTGAAGATCTATTTTAGTTTGCTTCATAGAAAAAAAAAGATTCACAATCATTAATTTTTCCCCCCACTTATTTGTATTTCTCTTCATTTCACAAATGGCTTTTGCCATTTTTAAAGCAAGTCATTAATCTATTAACATTTTTTTTTGACATGAGAATGAGTGATGTGTATTTAGATTTGGCATTCATCAATTTAAATCTAAAGTCATTTTACATTTTTTTTTCTTTCCCTACTGAGTTGAATCTTAAATACAGGAATATACTATTTTAAAAATTGTCAGTAGTATATATTGACTGTATAGATCATATATGTCTTATTAAGATATCTTACTGCTTAAAAAGAACTATGTCACACTGTTATATAGACATAATAAAAACATTAAGGAATACTTTTCTTTGGGTTCAGGTATTCTATTGCTAGAAGCAAAATGTTCAGTATTGATGACAATGGCACAATCACTACAGCTAACCCACTGGATCGGGAAATCAGTGCCTGGTACAATCTAAGTATTACAGCCACAGAAAAATGTAAGTACTCATTTGGATCCAATGCAGTTGTTTGCCATATTTCTTTAAACAATTACACAATTTCTTTTTTAATCATTATTATACTTTAAGTTCTGGGGTACATGTGCAGATCATGCATTTTTGTTACATAGGCATACAGAAGCCATGGTGGTTTTGCTACATTCACCCCCCCATCATCTGCATTAGGTGTTTCTCCTAATGTTATCCCTCCCCAATCTTCCCAACCCCTGCTATCCCTCCTCTAGTTCCCCACTCCCTGACAGGCCCCAGTGTGTGATGTTCCCTTCCCTGTGTGCATGTGTTCTCATTGTTCAACATCCACTTATGAGTGAGAACATACAGTGTTTGTGAAAATGTGGCGTATATACACCATGGAATACTATGTAGCCATGTAAAAGGATGAATTCATGTTCTTTGCAGGACATGGTTGAAGCTGGAAACCATAATTCATAGCAAAGTGACACAATTACATAATTTTTACACATGGGGGCAAGGCTACCTTAAGATGTTGTTAGAATTAAATGACATTCCGTGTAAATGTGTGTATTTGTGTGTTTTAATACACACATTAACAATAGTATTCCTAATAAGCTAGTCTTATTAATGTCTGCTTATTACCACTATTCCAGCTTATCTATATACTTACCACTATATATCTTCTAAACTGTTTTCTAATTATAATAGTAAATAATTTTAATACAAAAATAAATTGAGAAAATCACAAAGTATAAATGAAAATCACCTGAAATTCTGTTTGTTTTTTTAGGCAGAAGATTTCATTTTCAGGTTGTAAAAATAGATAAGAATTATTCTGCATTAACACTTAGATATTGTTCTTGAACTTATAAATCAGTTATTTATTCAATTATATTAATTAAAGCTTAGATATAATAGAAAATATCTAAATCATTTCCATTAGTCAATAGATTTAGAATTGTAAAGTATTAAAATTGCAAATATAAAATATTCTCAAATGCGTCTTTTCTTATAACTGATTTCATTTAGAATTTTAATAATCGTGTTCCCTTTCTTCACTCTTTGTTAAAGTGGGAAGCATCTATCTCACTTTTCCTTACTTTATTAGACAGATGGCAGGTGATATGGTGGAGTGAAAAGCATCTCCACATATTTTTTGCGATACAATAAAAAGTTCTACAGAAACACTGTAGGAGAACTTGAATCTGGGTTTTCAATGTTCCATTTAACTAAACAGTAAAAGAAAGCAAATGTTACAATGGAATAAATGTCTGTTGCCACAGTGGAAATGTCAAGGCTTCTCAGGTCAGAAAACACAAAGTTTTTTTTTTGTTTGTTTTTTGTTTTTTTGTTTTCAAATACAGCTTTTATTCATTGCATATTTCTTAGAAAATTTTTTTTTTTTTTAATTTTAAGGAAAACCCGGTTGGAACAAGCTTTTGTAACACTGGATAACAACTTTTCATTTTTTTCTTTCTCTAATATTTAAAAAAATTCTACATCATTAATCCCATTTTATATCTATATGGGAAAAATATGTGTGTCATTTTTTTACTACCATGCAATCAATACTGAACCAAAAATAATTAGGTTTGACCTTTTAAGCTTCAATAGCAACATAAATAAACAACCTGACCAGTGGAAAACAGGGCATTACATAAAACTGTTTTAAAAAGCACCTAGCTCCATTTGTTAACTACCTTGAAAAGCTTTCACCATAACAATTATACCGATTATAGGAAAGAGATGTTCCATTTAACATTTTTTTTTTCAGCAAATGAAGTTCATTGTGCATAGTCTCTTTTCTGGAAAGCTTCCTAAATTAAGCACAATGCTATTTATCAGTATGCCAGCTAAATGAGTAAAACTACCAACTCTTTTAAAGTGCAGCTGTGAGGTTTTATATATATATTGTACAGTAATACCAAATATTTAATTTGAACTTAATTTCAAGCAAAGTTTAGTAACACAAAGATAAAAACTTTAAATGAATTTCTCATTAATTTTCCTTCAGTTTATTTACAAGTGAATTACATTATATAACTTATTTAAGCAAAAATATTCTATGATGATGCATGTGTAAAAACCATAACAATATAAACTTTAATTTTTTGATTAATTTCTTCTTGAAATCGTTAGAAATATCATTTTGTTTGCAAATGTTCCATTAATCTATTTTCAACCTAAATGTCACACAATGGAGAAGAGTCTCAAAATGATAAATATTAATGGTTTCCGTATTTCCTAAAAGGCATGGATGTGTGTTTGTGTGTGTGTGTGTGTGTGTGTGTGTGTGTGATAAATCTTACAAATTCAATTTTTCATTAATTGAAAATTACAATTTCTATCTTAATTGGAACTATTATTGTTGGGAAAATATAATTACAAGCAAAATCTCATCCCAGCCCAGAAAACCTCTCCACAAAGGTAGAACAGAGAGAAAAATTTTATTACTGGAAAGCATTAAAACACAATGTGATGTGCATCATAGGAAATCGAAGAGATTCCCAAGATGGAAAGAAATTTCACCTTTTTATGTAGTCAAGCAGATACAATCCATTATATACGTGTCTCAAGTTAAATGTTGTCTAGACGTTCAAGTGTGAAGACTAACACCATTTGTCACATAGAATTCATTCTATATTCATTGGATAGTTCAAGTGACCACCTTCGTTTGCTAATTGATTTTATCCAAAGGACAACTTAACTTTTCCTGTCTTGATGACAAGAGGTAGTTCTACAACTTAGAACAAGTTGGTTGCTAAAATTAGTTTCCTATCCTTCCACAAATCTAGGATATAGGGATACTGTATGCCTTGAAGACTACATTTCAAAGAGATCGTCACCATTACTTGAGAAATGCAATCCTGGATGCCAAAGCTTGCAACAAACTTATTGAACTTTTAAAAGATTTCCATACACTTCAAAGAGACAAAGAACTTACAATTACAATGCTTTTTCTGTGTGTGTATGTGTGTGTGAGTGAGTGTGTGTGTGTGTGTGTGTGTGTGTGTGTGTGTGTTTATGAAGGCTCTGAAAAAGGAAGAAAGGAAAAAAAATTCCCTTGTTTTCAACTAGGAGAATCAGGTCTCTAATTTTTAATTTGTATTGTTCTTTCAAATTACCATTACAAACAACACACCTATTTTAAATAAAAACACATAAGCAAAGTAAAGAATCAATGCCCCATATCCCCTTGGGAGGCCGAGGTGGATGGATCACCGGAGGTTAAGGAGTTGACCACTACCGTGGCCACAGCTCCCTGCTCAAGCAATTCTCCCACCTCAGCCTCCCAAGTAACTGAGACTACAATGTACACTACCACACTCAGCTAATTTTTTGGATTTTTAATAAAGACGAGGTCTCACTCTGTTGCTCAGGCTGCTCATGAACTCCTCAGCTCAAGTGATCCTCCTGCCTTGGCCTTCCAATGTGCTGGAATTTAGAGGTGCGAGTCACCATGCCTGGCTATATTCACACATTTTTAATAAATCCACATAATGTCATAGATCAGTTGTAATTTATTTTCTCCAATTCTTTTCTGTTGTACATTTGAGTTGTTTTTAATAATTTGGATGCCATGCAAATAACTCTGGAATGTATTTCATTGGGTTATTTTCTCGAATACTTATACCTTAGACTTTAGCTTAATTTTAACAGATTGGGTCACAGATATGAGTAGTTTATATTTCATTATCCATTACTAGAGTTGGTTTATGCTGTTATTTTTCAGCATTCTGCCATCACTGGGTACTGTTTTATCACATATGACACAAATGGCATGGACTAAACGGCCAATCTTCTTAACTGTGATGAGAGGCTGTGTAAACATCATGACAGCACAATGTGTCGACTGCAGGCCATTTGGCCCAACACTTCTGCCCCTAACATCGGCCAGGGCACATTAACAATGTCTAAACACAGTTTGGATTGACACACTGGGGTGAGAGGGATGCTGCAGACAATTGGGGAATAGAGGTCAGGGACACCACTAAACATCCTATAATCCACAGGAGGATCCTGCACAACTAAAGATCATCCAGTCTAAAATATTAATAGTAATGGCAGTGAGAAAGTCTGCTGTAAGATAAATTGAATTTTCTCTCCTGTGAATTTCTAGTTTACATATTTTTTTTTCTGAAACGTCTTTTTTATATCAATTTGAAAGATTTAAATGTTTTAACCACAATATTCTTTCATTATGTTTTTTGGATTTCCTGGCTCACTTAGAAAATCTTCACAACTCAATGTTTATATAGAAACTTTACATATATTTTATTATAACTATTTTACTTTAAATATAGATTTTTTAATTCTTTGTTTTTAAAAGTTACACTGTAAATTTCAGTGGTTCACAGAATTGATTGCTATTTTGTTACAGCACTGCAGCTATAATCTTACGCAAGTAATTTAACTGTACTTGGTTTACCAATGTTTTCATCAGTAAAATTAGGGAGGATAATAATCCATGTGTTGATCAAGATGAAATGAATTAATACAAAACTTTAAATAGTTCCTGGACTCTTGCAAGCTATCCATACACATATCTTTTTACTACTTTTTCTCATCACCTATTACAGCCCATGGCAGGTAAAATGCACCCAATAAATATTGCTTGGTTTGGATATACTGAGCACAGAATTTTTTTTTTCTAGGCTGTATTGTTGATAAACATGTGAATCATATAGATATCCTGTCCTCAGATAGCTTTTTTCAAGTAAAATAAAAATATACCACATAGGCCAGGCGCGGTGGCTCAAGCCTGTAATCCCAGCACTTTGGGAGGCCGAGGCGGGTGGATCACGAGGTCAAGAGATCGAGACCATCCTGGTTAACATGGTGAAACCCCGTCTCTACTAAAAATACAAAAAATTAGCTGGGCATGGTGGCGCGTGCCTGTAATCCCAGCTACTCGAGAGGCTGAGGCAGGAGAATTGCCTGAACCCAGGAGGTGGAAGTTGCGGTGAGCCGAGATCGCGCCATTGCACTCCAGCCTGGGTAACATGAGTGAAACTCAAAAAAAAAAAAAAAAAAAAATATATATATATATATATATATATATATATATATACCACATAGCCTCTAGTTTAATTTTAATGACTTATCTTCTAAAAACAGTATTAAAATATTTTAAATCTTAAAATTGTATATAATTTTAAATATATATAATAATATATAAAATATATTGTTATAAAAATATAATATGATAAGTTGTTAAATTTGTATATATTCAAATTGCAGACAATATAGAACAGATCTCTTCGATCCCTGTGTATGTGCAAGTTCTCAATATCAATGATCATGCTCCTGAGTTCTCTCAATACTATGAGACTTACGTTTGTGAAAACGCAGGCTCTGGTGAGGTAAGAACTCATTATAAATTACAAAATCTAAACAATATATCGTTGTTTCATAATATGTAATTACTTTATATATTTTATAATATTTTATATATTATATATTATTAACATATTTAATATTTATAATTTATATACTTATAATTATTATATTCAATAAGTACTAATTATGTATATTAAACTTCATAATATATAATAATTTTTGTCATGCAGTCATCTTATTTTGAAACATCAAGAAAAGTAACTTTAGTCTATTTATATTAATTACATGCTTTTATGCTGTGAGCTCCATATGATAATATTTTGTTTTAATTTTTAAAAACATGCAAATTTCAAGTTTTCTACTTTACAATTCTTCAAATGTTTTAAAAAATCTGCTAACAATAGTGATTCAGTTGTTTGCCTTTATAGTATATTTATTATTCAGTAGTTCATTTATACTTTGCCAATATAATAAAGAAAAAACTTTTGATTGTGTAGTTTAAATAATCACATTTAAGTTTCTTTTTTCTTTTTCTTACTCCTCTTTCAGGTACAGGTAAAATGAGATATAAACATAAATATATGGAGGGAAAATATACTACAATGTTTTTTTGTAGTCTTTAATCATTACATCAAATATAGCAACACATATAAAACAGTTTTATATGAATTACTAGATATGTACACACGAGAACATATTCATTTTGAAATACATTATCATTACTTCACAATTTACTTCACACACTTTCTTATCTGCTGCTCACTTTTTTATTTGTAAAATATGACATTTAAATTAGAATGTTATTTATGTACTTCTCAGCTCCAGTACATAATAAACTAACATAATTATCAGGTTTCTTAGAGTACATAAAAGATTATTAAATACCATTGGTTTTCTTTTAAAAAATGGCGACTAATGTTAAAATTTTTACAGTCTAGTGTTCATAGAGCTAAATAAGTATACAGACACTATCAACTCAATTATTCTAAGTAGCCTTGAATTTATCAACAAAGCTACTCAGGGAACATTTGGATTTTACAAAAGCAGAAATTACATTTTTCTATAAATAAATGGTAGTAGCCAAAATTATACTTGATCTTCAATTTCCTGCTATGCTAGCGAATAGGCATATCTTAAGAAATAGGTATATCTTAACTGTTGCTGATTATTAAACTGCAACATAGTGAAAATCGTCAATAGTTCTTGAAATGACTGTGAATTTCATTAAGCTATGTGTATTTTTTAAAATGTTTTCACTGGAAATAATGATCAAATCTTGCCTATAAATATTTCCTAAAATGTTTTGAAAACAGTAATAGAATTGTTATAAACATGCAAATGACTTTAAAAAATTAAAGCACTCATTTCTGATAGGTTAGAACCCAAGGATTTGGGGAAAGTAAAAGGTGGATATAAAAATTTCTCTACTGTGTTGCACTTTCCCTAGAACCAAAATTGAACTATTTTAGAATTGTATGGACATACAGTATAGGGTAGAAGAGATCACAAAAGCAGAATGCACATAAACTGGGACCCATGGCTCCTGCAGAAATTAGGCTTAGATATTTTTCTTCAAACTTGATACTATAAGTCTATTATGTACTTAGAAATTGGATATCTGATGTTTCCAAGCATTTCAAACACACCTGATTACTTAGACATATTGACAAAGATAACAAGCAAATTTAAACAATAACATGTAAATCTAACAAACGATACTTTAAATGTGGCACATCAGCTTTCTTAAAATACAAATAATTTTTGAAATGATGTATCTTATAATTTTCTAATGAATATTAAATTTACATATTGGATGAAACATTTCTAGAATTATAAGTAAAATTATGGTTTATATTTATTATATTTTATATTTTGAGTATGATTCGCATATGATTATATTTTATATTTTGAGTACAACTAGTATAGTAAATTATTTCACTCATTTCGTGTACATATGAAGCACACATATAAATACAATATAAATGTAGTTAGATTATCCATTGATTAGATAGCCTATGTTTAAACTTTTTTAAAAAATAGGCATAATTTATTTCATCTTCTATGCACCTATTTCTATAAATGTCCCATGTGGTAACTATTTTACCTGAACAAAGTTCTGTTTAATATTTTTGCATTTTCCTAAATAAATTACTAGATTTACGACAGCAGGGATTCTTAGTGATTTGATTCCATAGTTACATATGTATGTACATATAGTGATTATAATATAAAAAGTACTCAATTCATATGCTTTCAGAAAAAATATATTTCACATACAACCTAGAAAATAAATTTTTCATTTTTTGTAAATATAAAAAAGTAAAAAAAGTGACAACACTAATCATATGGATATTGTTCAAAACAGTAAGTAGTATTTTTTATTTATACCAAAATAGATGAATAGTGAAGATTTATTTCATTATTGTCATTATTCACACAAACTTTCGTCATGTAAACTTTTAAGTTACATGTGTTTTAAATATGTATTTCAAAAAAACTTATGAGCAGTGATAAAATAATGCCTGGGATGATGAAATATCATGAAAATGTTTAAGACAAGTATCTTGACAATACCCCAGGCATTCAAAACCACCATGTCACTAAGTTACCATAATATATCCTAGATTTATAGAAGTGTCTACAGACTCATATAGTCATTGAAGATAGAATTTTTGAAATGTAAACTAAGTTAATAATTGGCTGGGCGCAGTGGCTCACGCCGGTAATCCAACACTTTGCGAGGCCAAGGTGGGTGGATCACGAGGTCAGGAGATGGAGACCATCCTCGTCAACATGGTGAAACCCCATCTCTACTAAAAATACAAAAAAAATTAGCTAGGCATGGTGGCATATGCCTGTAGTCCCAGCTACTCGAGACGCTGAGGCAGGAGAATTTCTTGAACCCAGGAGGTGGACATTGCAGTGAGCCGAGATCGTGCCACTGCATGCCAGCCTGGGTAACAGTTCAAGATTCCGTCTCATAAATAAATAAATAGTAAGCTAATAGTTGTTTGTTCTTTGAAGGACCTCTATAACAACCTCAAAAATGAAATATCAGTGTCTACAGATAGGTACAACTGATCAAAAGGAAACTCAAATGCTAATGTTTACTGCAATGTGCTGTAAAAGTATTCTCAGTCTTAAACTCCACTGAGGAAGAGAAATGTCTACTGGATGTAATGGCATAGTGTTTTCTTGTGCCCTGCTTAAAGTATAAATGTAAAGCTTTATGGAAAAATGTGTGAAATAAAATACATATATGTATACTATGCTTCAAAAGTTTAAGTAACTTAGGTAACTTTCTCAGCATTATGTAGTACGTAAATATCTAAGCCAGAATTAAAATTTATGATTGTCTCCAAGAATGATAGTGCTTTTAACCACATATTCCATGCTAATCATAAAGACTAGCTCTCTTTAGATTATACACACAATTAAAAATATGAAAAGCAGGTTTTTCTGTTTATTTAGAAAGAATGTTATTTACGATTTTAAGGGCAAAAATAAAAGGAAGTTCAATTTGACTAGTCCCAAACCCTTTCCTGGGATATGCACTGCTCAAACTCATAATAAGGCACATTGGTGAGCCCTGTTTTATAATTTCCCTTAAGGATGAATGTCACACATTGTGAAATAATTCTTTCGGAGACTTGCAGATGTCACTATCTGGAAGTCTGTCTCAGTCCTATAAGCATCTGAAAGAATGATACAGTTCCTCCGCTTAAATTCCAAGGAGAAGACAACAATTTCTTCTCACCCTGCTACATACATTACAGTTTACAAATTGAAATCAGTGGACACATGGTTTGAGTGCTGTAAATGTATATAACATTATGGTAGATACGTTCTTGTATATTGAAATGCCTTGTTTTAAAAATTCAGGAATTATGGCTATTACAAGCACAAGACTGTCATGTTTCCTCCAATGTTGATCACAGAGTTAGACTGACTTGGGTTCAGATTTCTGATTTGAAATTCACTGGGTAGGTTTTTGCTAATACAATTAAAACCAAGCCCCTAACATTAATATGTGCCTCCCAAAGTGCTACTAAAAAGTTTTTAAAGTGCTGTCAATCTCTTACTCATTCCTAAAAGTGAAATATTAATATGTGAACACTAAAACCAATGAAGCAATCTCTAAGAAAATGTTTGCTTTCAAAGGTAATAAAGCATAACTCATGTAACTGAAATGGTTTACATGTGAACCATAAGTATTTTAATTTGATATATCTATATAAGTAGATTTTAGAAATTATTACAAAGGGTAGCAAAATTTATTTGATTAGGTTCACCATAATCTTAACAAGAATATTAAATGGTGGTGATAAGGAAACTCCTAAGAACATTCTATTTAGAAGTAAATAGAGGAAGTGTTTAAACATAAGGAACAGTTAATAACCAAAATGAAGAAATGTCTACACTATTTGAACACAAATTGTGAAATTTGTGTCGGATAAATTAAATAATGTAAATTCTGGATTAAGCCAAAGGAAAATCAAGCAGGCAACTTGGTGGCACAATCAAACTACAAAACCACTTTGACATCTCTGCACCTTTGAATGAGGAAACGATAGTAAACTGAAACGTGGCACCTTCTTTTGATACAACCTCAGCCTGAAATCCCAGAAAACGAATTTCTTAAAATAAAATTGGGGCAGAATAAAACATGAAGGACACACAATTAAGAGAATGGTGGTAAGAAATAAAAAGCTTCTTAATACCAAAATCTGTAAGGAGAGTATGTGCTTAGGATGATAAGGATGATAGACTTGCTGTGGATTTGTTTCTATTAAGAAACCCAAAATGAAGTTCACTCTTTCCACTTCCCTAGGGTATTCTTTATTTATTTTTTCAACATTTTTAAATTAACAAATACAAATAGTACATATTTATGGTGCATGATGATGTTTATAAACATGTACACACACACATACATTGTGAAATGGTTAAATCAAGTTAATTAACATATGCATTACCTACATACTTTTTTTTTGTGAAGAGAACACTTAAAATCTATTCTGAG